CAACAATGGCGCTATTTTCTTCAATAAAACTCATTAATTCACTGGCATTTTTCAACCTAAAAATATATAATGAACTGGCATTTAAACGAATGATAGGCGCCAACACATTATATTTCTGTGTTGAACAAATTACGCTTACTGCATCGTGCCTGCCTCTTGTAAACAATCCATGTAATAATTTACTATATCTAACAAATTTAGGGTCGTCGGCGTGGTCATCTATAACGATTAATATTGAGTGCAGTTTCTTTATCTTTTTAGATTTCATATAGTTAATAATTTTCTTCTGTCTTTCGATTACATTTTCTAAATCACTTGGATTATAATTATCAAAATAAATTTGTTCTTTTTCATCATCTACATGTAGTTCATCCCTAATATATTTCTTTACTTCTGTAAAAGTTGGGTCATTATGAACGCTGGGTGAAAATATAAATATTCTTGCAAATGAATTTCTATAAACATTTAAAATAAGATTCTGAACTAAAACTGTTTTGCCGCCTGTCGAACTCGCAACTATAATACTTCTAAATGGTAGTTTTGGCACGTGCTCATATTTAGATTGTTTGAATTCATAATCAGTTATGTTTATTGGTTTTATTATTGGGACATCTGTCATAGTTGATATTAAAGAAATATAGAAAATTATATTTAAAAATTAACTTGTAATTAATATTAAATGGAACATCATTTTTATGATATGCTGGTGGCGAATATCATAAAATGGAACAGGTTTTCCATTGCTTCAATCAATAAGCATTGAAGATAATTAGTTTGAAGAATTGCAATGAAAACTCCAAGTGCTGTGCCCCATCAATATTCTATTATGCATGAAATAATAAGATTAATTAGAATAATTTATCTTATTATTTAATATGCAAAGAAGTTATACAGATTATATTGATATAATAGATGAAGTAGAAAATATAGAACAAGTAATGATAACTGACAATAAATGTAAGAAAGTATGCTATTTTGTTTTAGAAATAATTAAGTTAGGAATTCAATATATCAAAAATAAAAATGTAAATATTAATATAAATGCCTCCAAAGAAGAAGCAAGAGAAACAAAAAGAGATTGAATGTGTCAAATGCGAAAAATGCGGTCAAACAATTAAACCATTAAATGAATTAGAATTAGATAAAGAACATGTTAAAGTTAAATGTTGGCCGTGTTCATGTGGTAGAACCATGCATACAGTACATACAGTAAAAAAGAAAGATGCCGACGGGAGCACAGTTGAAGAAAGTTGGGTAGAAAACTTCAAAAGTGGATTTGGTAGGTTATTTACACCTGAGAAAGAATGCTGAAATATTAGTATTTAAGGAGTAGATTTAACACCACTTCAAACGCATAAATAAATAAATAAATAATTATATAAATGTTTATATATAGAAATGTCAGAAAATGAAAGTTTTACAATTAATGATTTAATGAAAAAGATTATAATTATTAGTAAGAATATTAAAACATTAACTGAACTTATTAAGAATATCGATGAAAAAATAAACCAACCTAAAAGCAATAACGAAGACGATAAGGAGAAGATGGATAAAATCTTTCAAAAGAAAGGATTAGGGCGTCCCTCAGGCGACCATGAAACTAAAAGACAATCTTATTTTGAGATGGTGTCCAACGGGCGCATTAAGAACCCAAAAGAACAAACTTTAGAATACTATAAAATCGCGAAAGATGGTGATGAATATAAACTTATGGATTAATATAATAAATATCTAAATCATTCTAATAAATGAATTTATTAGAGATGTTTAGTGGGACAGGCAGTGTTGGACTTATTGCAAAGTCGCTCGGTTTTAATGTAATATCGTTGGATTTGAAAAATGCTGATATTAATTGTGATATACTTGAATGGGATTATAAGCAGTTTGACAGAAATCATTTTCAATTTATTTGGGCATCACCACCTTGCACAGAATACAGTATTGCAAAAAGAACAGGAATAAGAAACATTGAATATGCTAATAGTATTGTATTAAAAACAATAGAGATTATTGAATATTTCAATCCAAAATATTATGTAATTGAAAATCCACAGACTGGATTATTGAAAAGTCAGTCTTTTATGGATGGGTTAAGGTTTAATGACATTGACTATTGCAAATATGGATTTAATTACAGGAAACGAACTAGGTTGTGGAACAATCTAACAAACTGGAAAGCGAGACCATTATGTAAAAAAGACTGTGGTAAAGTTGTTAATAACAAACATATTGAAACTGCGCAACGGGCACCAAGTGGAAAGCGGGAAAATTGGGGCGAGAATTATGTAAAGCATAAGCAAGAAGATTTATACAAAATCCCTGCTGAATTGATTTGTGAAATCTTGGTGAGTTTGGTGGATTAAGGAAAACGAGTTTGGGGTTGGTGTTGAAACTTGAAATTTGCAGGTTCGTCCAACGACAAAAAGAGTAAAAATTATGAAACTTAAAATTTTGAAAATAATGAATTTTAAAAGAAGACAACCCCCTCCCAGTGTCCACACTGACCCCCTCCCAGTGTCCACACTGACCCCCTCCCAGTGTCCACACTGACCCCCTCCCAGTGTCCACACTGACCCCCTCCCAGTGTCCAAAACGAACCCTTTTTTCACACTCATCCAGAATACGGTACGTGTCATGAATAGTTCTAATGAGATAAAATTATTAGGTTTATTCAATATATTTGTAATTGTTCTTTGTGTTGTTCCTTGTTTGGTTTTTTGTTTGGTTTGTTGTTTGGTGGTTTTTTTCGGGACAGGTGGCTTACCCAGACCTTGATATTTATTATGCCTAAAACCATTTAAAGAAATGTTCTTTTACTATGGTAGGAGATGAAAGACGATATGAAAAAATGTAAGCAATGTGATACTACATATTCTTCTGATTTGTTTAAGAATATGATTAAACTTTGTGATTACTGCCGAGAACAAAACAGATTGAAGAGAGAGGAAACCAAAAGACAATGGAGAATTAACAATCCTGAAAAAGTATGGGAGAAGCAACGCAGATACAGAGAGAACCACCCTGACAGAGTACAGGAAAAGAACAGGAAATACAGAGAGAGCGAAGCAGGGAAAGCAACAATACAAGCAAACCGGCAACAGGTTCACTATTGCGAATTGTGCGATTATGAAGTTAAAAAAGGTAAGAAGTCTCAACACGAGAAATCTTTAAACCATCAATATTTTTTACAGAAAAGTTTGAACGGTGAAAAATTGGAACGACCGGATAGTAAAGAAATTGTAAATGGCGTGTTGTGGTTTAGATGTTTGAAATGTAAGAAGAAAGAAATTTATTATTCTTGGTGCGACCATGTATCAAGTGAAGGACATATCAATAAATGTTGCGAGGTTGATTGAAATGGTTTAAGTTATTCTGTAAAATGAATAACTTGAAGCATTTTATATAGATTTTGGCGAGTGGTTTGATTATATGCTGGTGTGGCGCGGGGAGGGTAGTAAGAGATGAGGTTGTGGGTAAGGTCCTTCTTGCTCTAACCCCCCCCCGCCCGACGTCTGATACGTGCCCCCCCCCACCCCCCCCAGGATCGCGCGGCAATTTGATGACGTTCCACTAAACGTAGTCTTCGGGGAGCCGGTGTAGGGGTCCCAGGCTCGATTCCCCCTGCCGGCTCTTTGCTGGTTTGGGGTTCCTGCCTCCTTTTGCCGAAAATCTGTTTTTTGGACGTCCTGATTGCGAAAACGCTGGGAAACCCGTGTTTTTTTGCGGGAAATCTTGGGGAGCGCGGGAAATCTTGGGGAGCAAAGGGGAAATGCAAGGAAGTGCAAGGAAATGAGGGAAGGAAATAGAAAGTCGACATGACAGGAAAGCAGCGGGAAATGAAAGGGAAACAAAGGCGAGCTGAAAGGACATGCGAGGGACAGAAATGACAACAAGGGGAGTGCAGGGGGAATGAAAGGGAAACAAAGCGGCACGACGGGAGATGTAGGGAAATGACTCGCAACGAAAGAACGGGACATACATGGAAAATGAAGCGGACATACCGAGAAAATGTCAGGGACATGAAGGGGGAGTTGAAAGGCATGGAAGGGACATGACCAGGACGTCATGGGAAACGTGAAAAGGACATGAAGGGGAAATCAAGGGGAAAGCCAGTAGTGAGATGACAGTTCAGGGTCATGAAGGGGCAGCGGGGACATCGAGCCTGGAGAGAGAGAGAGAGAGAGAGAGAGAGAGAGAGAGAGAGAGAGAGAGAGGGAGAGAGAGAGAGAGAGAGAGAGAGAGAGAGAGAGAGAGAGAGAGAGAGAGAGAGAGAGAGAGAGAGAGAGAGAGAGAGAGAGAGAGAGAGAGAGAGAGAGAGAGAGAGAGAGAGAGAGAGAGAGAGAGAGAGAGAGAGAGAGAGAGAGAGAGAGAGAGAGAGAGACAGAGAGAGGGAGATTGGGGGGGAGGAGAGAGAGGCTTGGGGGGACGGGGAGGATGGGGAGCAGGGGGAGGGAGAGAGGACGACAGAACACACGAGGGAGACAAGGGAGAGAGGAAGAAGGAGAACAGGGAGAGGAACAATGTCGGCGGACTGAGCCGGAGGCTCTAAAGTAACTGGCTGCAGGTGGCGAAGCGCGTGCCAAAGGCAGTGGGCAGGCCTGAGATGGGATATGTTCAAACCCCATGTTTGCCATTTTTGCGTTTGGGCATATACCATCTAACCGACGGACGCAACAGGTTGCTACTTTTGTTGGGTATCCAATGCGGAAAGTCTTACATGCATCCTTCTTCTAGGTTCTTAAACACATCTTAAGCATACGGATTCCGTTGGGCAAGTAGCAGCCCTTCAACAAATCATGCTAGGAGACCAGGACCCCGGCCCGCCAACGATTGCGGATGGTGAGATTTCAAACATACTTTCACCAAACAGCGGTTTCAGAACAGTGACTCAAGGTGGAGCGGGGGGGGGGCATGGTCTTAACCAGGCCCGCCAGCCCTAAAATAAGTGCCGCCTACAGCCACCCGTTTCATGCGGATTCGTTTCGCCGCCGGGCCGCTCTTCGTCGTTGATCTTCAGATTCGTAATGTCCGCCGTCTCTTTCTGGCTCCGGACGCTCGTCTCCCAGGAATTGGCCACCTCTTTTCCTAAGGAGCGGGTCAAACAAATCAAAAGAATACACCAGCATAGACACGAGATAATCATTTCCCCCTATTATTAAAGGTATCCCTAATAATAAATACTTTTTTTCGGAAGTCCCAAATCCGGGAATACTACTCTTAGAATAGCCAGTGCTAAAACAATTCTAAAGTATGCATTTTCATGCCCGTACTCAAATCCAGCCCTACAAGGGGGACCCGGGAGTACGTTTCGTTTACTAAGGTCGTACTACAAAGTTGCGATGTTCGAGCCGGAGCTCCGGGAGCAGGTTTCCTTTACTACGGTCGTACTACAAAGTTAAAGGGCCTTTCAAACCAAAAGCTCGCAAAGAACAAGAGGTACCTCCAAAACCCGCCCTCCAGAACCAGGGACCCCTAATAATAAAAAATGTGTTGCTGGCAGGTTTCTCCCGAAAGCATTGCGCAGGGTTCTTCCGGTAAAATCGCCAGCCTTATCACACAGCTAAACTTGCACGAGCCAACTTGCACCAGCCTTATCGCACAGCCAAACTTACACGAGCCAACTTACACGAGCCAACTTGCACAGCCAACTTACACGAGCCAACTTGCACGAGCCAACTTGCTCGAGCCAACTTGCACAGCCAACTTGCACGAGCCAACTTGCACGAGCCAACTTGCACGAGCCAACTTACCCGAGCCAACTTGCAT